CGTACGTACGGTAGTACGTACTATATATATATATATATATATATATATATATATATATATATATACCCCACATATATGCAGAGAAGAGCCATCAGGAATCAGGGAACAAATACTCACTCAGATGGACGCAACTATCTCACCATAGTACGTATTCTTCAACATAAAACAAATACAGGCATCATTACATTAGCAGTCAGCAAACAGATGAGATGTTCTGAAGAGCAGAAAGGTTCCGAATTTGTATAGAATGGGTGACGAATACATTTACGCATGTAGTACATACGTGTCTAGTGTTTCACTGTTCACCCAGGCGACACACAGGCAAAAGTTTCCCTTAGCGATAGGAGCGCCGAATCACGCACACAGAAACATTTGAGCATTTCCAAAGACAATGCACACAGTGATATTGATAGTTGTGTCTACGGATACCGATACGTGTTTGCAATAACTAATTATACACACTCTATCCGGCTGGTAGTTTAGTTGTGTTTCAGGGTCCGGTACATACCCGACATCGGCTTTTGTAGCTCGGTATAGACTCTATGGCTGTCCGGGCTCTGCCCAGTTATTTTCTTGGTGTTCGCACGTACTAATGCGTTGACGTCATCATCGTTCATCATCCATGTGAACCTAAAACATATCCGAGATGTTGAGAGCTGCGAGCGTACGAGCCTGGTGCATGTATCCGTTCGGATGTTGGGACTGTGACTTACCTTGTCCCAGATGTGATTAACGACAAAACGACAATCGAGATGAAACGAGGGGTGGGATAACACACGTGATGATGTATGAGAAACATCAAAAGACGACGTGAAGGGTTGATAGCATATGTACTAAGACAGCGATCTATGGGATTGTAAGTGGTGGCCATAATAAGGCTTGTGATATGTCTACTGCCACCGGAGATGATGCGAAATCACAGAAAGATAATAATATATCAATGAAGCAACGCTGGTGTTGTAAAGCAATAGGTCATAGAACAAGACAAATTTTAATGGGGAGCGGTAGAGGAGAAACATACTTGCACTTTATATTTCCGTTGTAGGTCATCAGGTGGTTCTTTTCATCGACAGTCAAAGGTCCCTGTGTGGTGGTTCGGAATTGATTAGTACACATTTCCTCTAAAAGATGTGTTCACTTGTGCATCCATCCACCATCAACACACCATCCTCTCGTGTGTCGTATCGTATAACTATCTAACTACAGACAGGATGACGACTCTTTCCCTATTAACCACAATATACCTGTACACTAGGTATATGGTGCAATATGTTCACATGCATTGCATACATTCCACGCTTGAAAACATACCAAATTATTCACCATCCTCATAAAATCATTTCTGAGCATGTCAAATGATGGCCTATCGTCCGGTTCAAAAGCGGTACAATCCAATACCGTTTTGTAAATCTCGTCGGTCCAATGATCTTGCTTTATCAGATAGGTGCTGATGATCGTATTTGGATTGGTCAAGAGCACTATCACCTGTTATAACGAAAATAGGACAATACTACAGTGAACACATGCCTACATTATTGCAAACATATGTACATATGCACATACTAACAAATTATATAGAAACATGTCCCTATAAAGGGAACAGCTTGAAGTAATTTCAGGCACATAGAATAACTACTTCGTCCTCGTACAATACAAAATATCACATATACATACTTCACTTCACACACATCTACCCCCTCCCAAAAACGAACATGAATGGCATGTATACGTACCTCCTTGTTAGTCAGGGTATGAAATGGCATCATCCCATTAGATATAATCTCCCAAGTTGTAATGCCAAAGGCCCAGACATCAGTGGCCTGGTTTGCCTTGAATCTGTCAGTATATGCAGTTGAATTGGATTGGGTGAGCAGGTTTGAATTCAGCTTGCATTTAGCTACACACCCACGAGTTTAGCAGTATAGTTAACAGAACATCATATATCGATGATTTTCCCAAGTCGCACTTTCTTCCAGGCTATCCACCGGAAACGCAGCTGCGCGTGTTGTGGTATTTTAGTGTACTGAGAGCTGTCATGTACATGCACACATATATAGACTCAGCATTGCAATCAACAAGTATATCTACCACAAATGAAACAATCAATGTAAAACATGCTTATTTGTGTGCGTACTTATCTGGCCCATGACAACGGTACATACTCCATGATGTTCTCCGGAGCCATCCACCTAACAGGTAGCTGTACATTTTGTGATGTTTTTGTGTACTGCGAATGTTCGTCCACTTCTCGCGCGAGTCCCAAATCGGACACCTTCGCTCGCGGCGGTCTGTACAGCAACATATTACAATATATCAAAAGAAAGCGTCAATATGATCTGTATCTTGTATATCGTACTTCAATATACTGGATTATCTTTAAAGATACATTGAACTGTAAGATAGTACGACATATCGTAATAATATGTAATAAAGCACAGTATACTTACTATAGTTCGGTATATCGTTAAATATCAGAAC